CGTGGCCTCAACTACACTCGAAATAAGTGAATTGTCGATTGTCTTTTGGTTAATTCGAATAAATTTTTGAAAGAATAAATTACATTTCTGCAGTTACAACTAAATAGAATTAAAAACTGTGACTTGTTGTATTGATAGCCGTGCCAATATATCAACCTGGAGATCGGTTTCTCTTTTCATTGGCGAAGGTGAGGTTTACATTACTCTACAACTACGTTCAACCAATTCAATGTTTATTGTTTTTCAATTCAAATATATTCTGAGTGTAATTATTTAAATATGATCTTTAATTCAAACTCTTTTTACTTAACTGATTATTAAAAATTTATTATGTATTATTATAAAATTTATTATTATGGGTATTTTGGTTATTGTTCTTCTAGGTGGTGAGCGAAGTATGCGTGTGAATTTGCGTCCCAACAGCGCTTATAAAATAGGATTGATATCGCTCTGCCGCATCAGAAAATCACTAAACCCATATTATTTTATAATTTTAACTTAGATTATTTTTTAAAATAATTACTGTAAAAACTATTTCATTAATAACTTTAATAAATTTAACAATATACACACACGACCACTATGTATTAATTCGACATCATTACGTTATTATACCACTATGTAATACTGAACATGCACTTAGGTTCGACTTTAGGGAATTTGCATTGTAGTCTTCAACTGGATTCATCTAATACTCAACATCCCAATCATGGAAGTGTATAATTTGAGGATGGAAACTTTGACGTTTTTACGTGTAGCATGTTGAATCGGCCAAATAATTGTCACATGTAACATGTAATACTGAACAACTTTTTTGGTATGTAGCTCTGATACCATGTATATATATATCTATATGGATATATCTATATATATATATATATATATATAGATATATATATATATATATATATATATATGTATGTATGTATGTTTGATTGATTGATTGGTTGTTAGTTTGGTATGTATAGATACATATGGATATATATCCAATCCACGGCTGATATGTCTCTTTCTCTATCGCCCCGTGGTGAATGGAAAGTATAAATGTTTTGAAAAATCTTCAAATATTTTGAATTAGTCGACAAAGATTGATAGTAAAAAGAACCAAGCAGCAACAAAAACAACATCAACAGCAGCAGTAGCAGCTGAAGTAGCTGCAACAACGGCAACAATAAAAACATTAAATTAAGGACAATTACATCAATTAGAACGATTTTCATAACGTCAACGACCGTAGCAGACAGCACTAACAATGTAGTCATGATTTCGTTGTCACAGATTTTGCATTTGTCAAAGTCGAGTTTTTTTTCTCTTCAGAATAACAGCAATAATAAAAATAATAATAAAAATAATAATAATAGTAATAATAATAATAATTTTGACGACATATCATCGACTATATCAAATTGCTATCAATGGCTGAAACCTCTTATTATAATGATAATAATAACAATTAATAATTTTGTCATTGATTTCAAACGCACTGAACAAATATTCATTTTATAGTCCCTCCCTCTCTCTCTCTCTCTCTCCCTCTCTCTCTTTCTGTTTTTTTCTGTTTCTCTCTCTCTTTCTCTATAGAATACAAATGCTTACATTCTACTAAAATAAAATAAAGGTATGTATTAAATCAATACACAGATCAAATATTTAAATAATCCTGATAAAAGGGTTCTTTATCGATACTATAACGTGTATGTGTGTATGTATGCGTGTATGTATGTGTGTTTATGTATATATATGTATGTAAGTATGTATGTGCGTGTGTGTATGTGTATGTATGTGTCTGTATGAATATTTATCAGGCTCATAACTCATTCACACTCATATACAAATAATAACACAAGTTAAACTAGCTAAGACATTAAGAAGCTAGTGACATCAAAGTTCAAGACTAAATATTTGACATAAAACAATGTATGCGCGTGCATTATATATATATATATATATATACATATATATATATATATATATGCATATCCATGTATGTCATTTAAACTTTGTATGTATGTATGTATGTATGTGTGTATACGCATGTATATATATATATATATATATATATATATATATATATATATATATAAAGTTAATTCATAAAAATTGTTTCCTAATTTTAAACCGACAACAGACTGGCAGACGAGTTTAGCTATATGGCAAAAATTAGTAAAAACAACAACAGCCATTAATTTTCTACGGTCTAATTGAAAAGTTGACCAGCATGTTCAACCCCGGAAACAACAACAACGTCTGTTACAGCAGCAACAACAACAACAACATCTGTGACATCAACATCATCAACATGTATTCCTGATATTAATCAAACGCAACGTTTGTAAGTACAAAAAACTATCGTCATCATCTACATCGATCGCAGCAACTGTATAAAATTACATTAACGTAGGGTACAACTGTTGTAATAACATCAACAACAACAACAACAACAGAAACATCATCAACAACATCAACAACAACAACAACGTCAAAACCATTACCAGTAGAAATGCATTACAACCATAGCGTGAGTAACTTATTAGGAGGCTGGGGAGACAAAGATGATGCCGTGGTTGTTACAGTTGACGAGAAAAACATCAACAACAACGACATCAACGATGACAATTTCAACTCAACAACAACAACATCAAACAACCACATCAAAAATAAATTCTGGTCATTTTTGGACATGTTATTCCGCACCGTCCTCATAGCAAATATGTGTACTACACAGTGGTGGGCTATCTGGAGTTTACTCGATAAGTTAATCTTTCCACATAATGCTCTACTCAGAGGTTGTGTTCTATTTTTAGGCGGAAATTTCATCATCATTCTATTTATAGTTTTTCCACAAAGAGTCTGGCAAAAAACATTTTGTTGGGTCGTTGAAGTTTACGAAGAGGTGTTGCAAGTTGCGAGTCGGATGAATTGTGATGAGGCTGGTGCCGGCGATGAAAGTTTGAAAATTGCCGATAGAAACCTCGAAAAAAATTCTTCTACAGAAGACGTCTATGTTGAAATGTGCCCTGAAAATTTAATTCCACATCCTGGCAACATTTCAGAATTGAACTCCAACCACCCAACCACAGCAAAGACAACAACAACAAGGACAACAGAAACAACTACAACACAACGACAGCCAGCCACCAAAGCTTATAAAATCCTTTACTCGCAACCAACATCACCGAAAAGAGTACAAACAGTTTCGAAATCTCGCCTCTCCACTATGAAACTAACGAAATTCTTATTCAAAAACTTATACAACTTCCTAGGTTCTGTAGCGTCTATAGCGCAGTGGCTTGGTCTTTGGATTTTGCTGGATGAATGGCTAGGAAGAGTAGTGATCGAAATGGAGCCAGGAAAAAATGGTACAGATTCTAATGGTAATCTTTCAAGAATTCATGGTGGTGGTGGGGTAAAAAATTCAACTGCAATGGAAATAATGCCGATGGGACCTGATATAAATTTTGACGGCCCCCTTGTTGTGAATTCAAATGTTTGGTTGGTCTGGCTGGTTGGTAAGTAATCTTGAGAATTTTTTTTTCTGCTTAAAATCATTTCTTATTTTTTTGTTGACAGCTTTTATTTGAATATTTTTATATTTGATTACGACGATGGTAAGAATGTTATAATAAACCCTAATTATGATTAACAACATTAAAACTCATCATCGTCAACCACATAACCTATCATTATCATAACTCTGAACTTGACCTCTAACCTCAACAAATAGGTCACCTAATGTTGATAGTTCTCGGCGTATGCAGAACGGCTAGCATCGAACTGACCAGTATTTCAATTGACGGATCGGATGCTGAGTCTGATTACTATGCATTTAACACAAGGTTTCTAGATAAGGTATCTTGTTTTTAGTATGCTTGCCATTAATTTTTTTCAAAATATTTTTTGCCAGTAACAATTCTAATGCGAAAGAACTAAACTTCGTCCACTTTTAAATTCAAAATTCGTTAATTTCTTTGAAACTTAATATAGAATAGCATTTGAAATCAACGAATTTCCAAACTTTTCAAAAATTCACAACAACCCAAGAACTAAAAATTGAAATAAACACCTATCTATTTATGTATCTATTCCCCAACAGCCGAAACAGTCAATCAAATATGTATACGACGCCATCTTCACTGTCTTCGTCGTTCAGTCCGCCGTGGTTTTTTATTGGCGGGCCACGTGGAGTGTCATTGATTACGTCATGTTACCCCTACCCCACGTGACGTCATTAATAATAGGGATGGGCGTGGTTTATTTTTACGTCGTTGTTAAATGCTTGTGGAGGTGGTGTTTTGAGAGGCTGCGTTGTTGTGGTTGCTGTGGCTGTTGTGGTTGCTGTGGCTGCTCTGGTGTGGTTGAAAATAATAATAATAATAATAATAATAATAGAGTGAATGGCAATAATGCAAGCATAAATAATGGTGATGACGTTGATGGAAGTTTTGATAGTAGTAGCAACTTGAACAACAACAATAATATCAGCAGTTTATACGCTGATGACGTAAACAACAATAACAATGATAATAATAATATTAATAATTATGTCAATACTAATAATGACGTCGGCAACGACTTGCATTCCTATTGGTCGATGAGGTTTCAAAATTTTATCACCAGGATAAAAGTTTATTTCACTGATTTTTCTAACAACGATAGAGACCTTTGCAACAACAACATCAACAACAACATCAACTACACTATCAACAACAACAGTAGCAACCTAACCAAACTCAAGATTGACAACAACATCAAATTAACACCATTAAACTCGCCCAAAACAGCGGAAACAATTGTGACGTCATCGCCTAAATTTAACCCCATAAACATTACGTCATGCGACACAGATGATACAGTCAATAAGAACGATCTCACAACAATCACGTCACAGATTGAATTATCATCACGTGGTTTAGATAATTCAGCCAATAGGAGGAAACTTGGAACTTTGACGTCATTATCATCATCATCATCAGCTATGGCACGTTGTCATTCTTTGTACTATATAAACCAGGCTGACAAAAGCAGAAATGACGTAATTAATAATAATAACAATAATAATAATAATTATAACAACAACAATAATAATAACATTGGTTTTTACGGTCCAGAATTATTTCGTAATAATCTCAAGAGCCATTTAGATGGATTTAATCAAAGAGGAAATATGCTAACGAAAAAAATTAAGCGCTTCAAAAATAGAACACAATCATTATCAGTACTTGACATTGATAAACAAACAACGCGCGGTGGTAACAATTTTGTAAATAATAATAAAAATAATAATAATAACAACAATAACAATAATAGTAGTGATAGCGATAATAAAGAGGTTGGATTTTATAAGGACGGTGATGACGATGAATTGAAGCAGACGATAAAAGTTGATAAACTGTGTGATGACGATGACGCCAGGAATGTCAAAAGTTTCGACTTAACTAGGCAGTTGTTTTTTACTGATATGATAAAGTTTAATGGCATAGAAGACGAACACAAGAACGGCAGTAGCATAGTTATTGATATGGCGAATGATACCAGAGACGAAAGTTCAATTATAGGCGACAACAACAACAACTACAACAACAACCACAATAATAATAATAATAAAAGCAGCAATCTCGATGTAAGAACATGTAGCAGTAACTGCAGTAGCAGTTGTAGTGATGGTAAATGTTTCTCGAAAGACAAGATACAGAAGTAAGGAGAAATTTTACTGTTGTTGCTGATGTTGTTGTTGCTGTTGTTGTTGTTGATGTTGTTGTTGATGCTGTTGTTGTTCCATATACTGTTTTTATAATAGATTGTGAAAAATTCACTAAACAAGATTTGAGATCATTTAATTTAATTTTAATAACCTACATACAAAAGCTTGGCAGAACAGTGTCTTTTAATTTTAAAAATTTACTGACAACAAAAAATTATCTTTAAAAAAAATTTAAACCGCAAATTTCTTCCCCAATCACCAGATGGCTAATTACAGTACTAACTCAATCCCTGTACAACTTCATAATCATCCTGCTATGGAGGTCACTCTGGTCAACTCTTGACCTCACGCACGACCATGATTGGTCGATATTTTTGTATGTGGTACTCACTTCCGGCTGCTTTATTATACTTAGTTTTTTTGGTTACATCCAGAATATACCCGGAAATGACTGTCGTCTGGACGTGTCAGAATGACGAATGGAGTCAGTGAGTAAGTGAAGAAAGAATGAATGAAACAACAATGACCAAGAAATGAAAGAAGCGAATGAATGAGTTAATTACTACATACGAATAAGCTTACAAACGTAATACAAATAGACAAACATACACACATACAAACATACATACACACGGACATACATACAAACATTCAGACAAACATACAAATCAACAAAGTTAACGCATAATAATACAGCTTTTGTTTCTAAGGCATTTTAGTCATATTTAGTAATTTTAATTTTAAGTTTTTTTTTAAATTTTTAATTACAATTGCTTACGATAACAACAATAATAATTATTATTATTGCTACTATTTATAATAATAAAAATAATAATAACGATAACTTCTAAGTGATGGTGAAAATAATACTAATAAAAACAACAAAAATCGTGTTTCTCAAGTTTTGTTTCAAACCAAAACCAAAAAATGTTCTTTTTTTATTATTTCAAAATCGAATAGAACGTTTGAAGTCGAAAAAAATTTCATAACAACAACAACGACAATAAGAAGAACAAGAACAACAAAAATGATAATAAATAGCAACAATAATAACAATAATCAAATTATTTCGTCAATAACATAATAATAATAATGTTTAAAGGGTTATTTATTATCTTTACAACCAAAACGATTGTTTGTTGATAGCACAATATGGATTAACGTTTCTCTCCCCCCCTCCCCCCCCCCCCCCTCTCTCTCTCTGTATATATATATATATAGAGAGAGAGAGAGAGAGAGAGAGAGAGAAAGAAAGAGAGAGAGAGAGAGAGAG